TATTCAGCTGCTAATTATAGAACTAAGGGAAAAGCCTGTGAGTGTGAGTCATGTTGCCTTGTGCTTTTGCAGTAAGGAGACTGTTTAGAAAGTTCAAAGTCACCATCAAAATCAGTATCTGATGTCTCAAATGTCCATAAAGCTATATTTGAAGTAGAAAATTTAATGAGAATTGTCAAAATCTGATATGATATGCTGTAATTGATTGCAAACAGAAGAGGCAGACAGGTCCAGAGTTTGACCCTGGTTTTGCTTTTTGAGTTCTAATATTTTTTTCAGTCTCCTCCTCTTCCTGTCTAGGAAGGTTTGAAATCTGACTGTATAAAATACAACATCAAGTGAGAGGGAGGGGATTGGAGAAATAAATACACTGTTCAGAGTGTTTCTGGCTTTACTAATTTGCTGGTTTAGAAACACTCTAGAAATACTATCAAGCACTACCAGAAGCATTTAATTTGTACCTTTATTGACTTCACATGGATTTGTCATGACTAACTTGGAAACACAAACCCCACTCCCAATCACTGATCCTTTGTCCAACTGTTCACAGCTTTTCTACTGAGAACAAGGGAACACTGGGACAACACCAGGAACAGGCAGAGGAGTCTCCAGGTTTGGAGCAGTCCCTTAGTGTGCAAATGTCTGGAATGGTGGCCAAGAGAGTGTGTGGTGCTGCTGGTGAAACCACAGGCTCAGTCTTTAACCATAAAGGCTGCAAAAACACAGGTACCCAGCACAGAATTCTGCAGCAAACCATGTCTGTGACCACTGACTCATCTTGGGGCAACAGCTGAAGTCTCAGCTGCTCTTTGGAGCAGTTCAAAGGATCTTTCAGAAGAGGACTTTGAGCTAATTAGCCCCTGAGAGAGAACTTGGGATGTTGAGATGTTCCTTGGTTGCCTCCAGTGTGAGTTTTGGTGGCAGGATCTGCTTGGGATTAGCAAGAATGAGTAGGAAAGGTGTAAGTTGCTTTGTTGAGGCAGCAGCTGTGCATAGATGAAGAAAGAAAGGGTAGAAAATTCTGGAATTTGGCTTCCCAGTTGCTGCCATGAAACTGGGTGATACTCAAGGTGATGATTGATAAAGTCACTGGTCCTTTCAGCTGCTGGTGGTGTGACTAGGAATGTGTAGGGCAATGGTTACTCAAATTATCAATGATTTGAAACAAGACTGAGCTAAACAAAAAGCCAAAGTAAAGTTATTGATATGAAAAAGTAGCACTGGAAAAATGGTAATTTAATGTTGTACCTTTCAGAACTTATTGCTCAGGGTAATGTTTTATTACCTCTGGAACATGTAAATTCAACTAAAATGGATGAACCTGTATGTGCACCCATTATGAGAGAAGGCAGGAAATGTGCACTTCAGGTAAGGATGCCTTTGGAATTCCATTAATGCCTAAAGAAATGGTGCCCTGGGTTATATTTGCCTTGTGGCAGGACCAGCCCAAGACTCATTTGGCAGTTATGACATTAAGTAAAAATCAGTCTGATGTGTTGGTTACATTCACTTCAACTAAACACTAAATTTTGACCTGGGCTGGTTCACCAGTTTTCCCACCTCTCCCATGTTCTCTGTGCTCTCAAGTGGTGACAGTGGGTTTAACCCATCTCCTGTGGGGAAGTGCTGTGCTGCTCCAGGGGAAACTAAACCTGTTCCTAGAGCACTAAACTATTATTTCCCACACCATCTGCAGAGACCAGTCCCTTCCCTATTTCCTACCTCACTGATACAGCCCCAACATGGATATATGTGCTCAGGCATCCCTCTGTCCTTATATATCTTGGGGGAAACATGTAAATTTAATCTGATCTCAAATATTCTTTTTGCCAGCAAAGATATTTCCCTTAAGATATTAACTGTGTCTCTCAAATATTTACATTCTAGGAGTCTGTGCTGGAGGAAAAGGCACTTCTTTCAAAGCCAAAGGTGGATCCTAAAGGCAATGAAGATATTAGTCCATGTGGCAGCAAGTTCACAGTGAAAAGCTTGGGGATGCTTTCTACCTGGTGTAACTTATGCATGGTTCAGGCAGAGAATACTCCTGAAGGAACAGGTAAATCATATTTAATGCTATTATGTCCAATCTGTTTCAACCACTTCACTCAAACTTTAATCCAGACAGAAAGAGAGTCTTCTCATTTATTACCAAAGTGTCTTGTTCACTATATGCAATATATAAATCAGTGCTGGGCAAGATGGGGGGATCTCTCCAAGGTTTATTAGGAAATATGATTACACTGCTTCCTCAGAACAAAATCATAACTTATTCTGATTGTATCATTAACAATTTAGCCTCTTTTGAGGGATTTTTTTTCAGTAATTTAAGGCTGTTCTTTTTAAAAGAACATAGATCAGTTGAAGATAGACTTTGACAGGACATGCTGGAGTTATTTTTGTTTCCAGGTTTTATCCTCAGTTCATATTTCTTACTCCTCAGTTGGACATATAAAAAATAAAACTGTCTGTTTATATATGAATCAGTTATATCATTTGCATAGTTCTGGATATGCATAATCTCTGTATTATAAATATTTACATATTGTGGCAATATTTTGTATTTGTGTCATTTTTCTAATGAACCATCTTCCTGCATTTAATCCTGGATACCATAGTGAGGGAGACTATAGACTTGTGTATCCTATCAGCAACTTCTAGAAAATACTTTTTAATGAAATGCTGATTTTATAAAAAATTCTTTTAGATGTTCCAGTTAAAGAAGTGGAAGTGCCTGTTCCTTCTGAGATCCATCAGCTGGGTGACAGTCAGTGTTTGAAGAATTTGGACCGTGTTTCTCATGAAGCTTCTGATGAAGAACGAAATTTAAAAGCATTTTCTGAAGGATTTGCTTCCAATGAATCATCATCCAAGCCAAACAACTTCTTTTTGAAATGTGAAAGTGCCAAATCAGCCTCTTCACCCCCAGAATTTCAGAGGGTCTCTGCAGTTTGGGTTGACATCTTGGAAAGCTCCACTTCAGATTCAGAATTAGAGCTGAAACATGGAGAGGACACAGATATCAGTGTCCCAGAAGAGTTTGTCTGTGACAGTGGTGATGTGTTTCCTGATCTTTCAAAAGAGGTGCCAGTAGCAATAAGTAATGGAAAGGAAACATCACCTACTGATGAACATGAACTGCCTGAAGATGACAGTGCTGAGATTTCATCACACTCCCAGAAATACCCTGGAGATGTGTTGGATCATGGCTGCACTGATCATCTGCTTGCTTTCATTCCAGCAGACAAAGCAAATGCCTCCAAAACCCAGCCAGAACATTCCTCCCAGCCTGATAACCCTGATGAGGGAATGGATGAGCCACATCTGGGGGCCTCTGGAAGCTCCAGCAGAAACAAAACCTGTCCTCAGGAGGTCACAAAACAGGGTAAGGATGCATCTGCCAGCTCTTCATGCAGTGATGATATTTACTCACCTAAGATCTATGAACAGCAGAAACCTAATTCTACAACTAACAGAGTGTTAGGGGAAATTAACTGTTCATTTGTGGATCAGAATAGAGACCTAATGGGGTTTCCACCAACAGTTTCTTTGAAACATCGAAATTTAGTTACTGACCAGCTTGGGAACACTGTTTCTTTTCTGCCTGACAGAGATACTGCAAATAACAAAGTGTTAGCATGTCTGCCTCCCCAGAGGGGACTCTTTTCTTCTACCTCCTCAAAAAAGCAATTGTTTCAGGCTGAGAACTGCTCTTCCAAAGGAGAAGATGATGTAACCTCTATTAGTGATAAGGGTCTCCCTCCAGCTGCTGAGGATGCCTTGTCGGAAATCCTGTCTCCCATGGATGAAGTATTGTCCTGTGGAAGTGCTGACTTGCCATCCTCTAACAAAAAGGATTTGTCATTTCCAAGTGAAGATCTTCCTCCTCCCTCTTTAGGTGCGGGTGCAACGAAAAATGATGATCCTACCTCCAGCACAGATGATTTCCCATCCCCACCAGAGCAAATGACAGGCTCAGAGACCAGTCAGGGTATGGATGAAGATAAATCACTGAAAATGGATGCATTACCCCCATTACCTGATAACATCATGCCTCAAGAATTTCCCCTGCTCAGTCAGGAGACAATTGATGCTTCTTCAACTCAGGCTGGTTGTCTCTCAGAACAATCTTCACTTCAAGCCATTTCCAGCCCAAAGGAGGACGTATCAGAACACCAACAAGGAGAACACGAGGCACCTTTGCAGCATTTGGAGCTCCAGCCTGTGTTAAACTTTGTTTCTTCTGGCCAGGCCAGTAAAAGTCCTCACTTATTAATGAAACAATGTACAACACACTTAATGCTGCCCAGCACTGAGGGGGACAGTGATGACCCATTGAGATCATTTGAAATTGGGGACAGAGTGCTGGTAAAGCAGAGCCAGCCTGGAACTCTGATGTTTAAAGGACAGACTCATTTTGCCAGTGGCCACTGGGCTGGTGTTGCACTGGACAAAGCTGAAGGTGACAATGCTGGAACTTACCAAGGGGTGAAGTATTTTGAGTGTGCTCAGCACTGTGGTGTCTTTGTCAGGCCTGAGGAGATCTCACACCTCTTGGGGGATAACAAAAAGGGATCCAGTTCCACTGGGGATGAAGACTCCGACTCCTATGATGATGAATCCTTCAAAGGGGACTGCAGATACTCTGGAGGTGATGAGCAGAGAGTGGGGGTTACAGAGGAGAAAGCAGAAGACACAAAAAGTGCAGGAGGTTCAGAAGTAAAAGAAAGCCAATCCAGGTTACACTCTGCCTTGCTGTCTGGAAAAGATCAAAAATTTCCACACTGCAACCAGTGTAAGTGTACTGAATTTCTCTGTCAAAAGAATTTAATGTGCTTGGGATCAGATAAGGAAAAAACAGAACTGGCCCAAATAAGACAAAGTATAATTGCAGCTGTGCTTCCAAAGAAAAGCAAGACCAATAACACAGATGAGGTAAACACAAGCAAAAATATTTGTTGCTTGGTAGAGGATCAGAAAAGAATTAAACTTGCTGATGATGTTGCAAGTGAACTCGGTAAAAAACTTCTGTTTGACATTTTAATTGCGTTTTCTGAAACAGCTCAACACAAATATAAAAGTGCCTTTGAAAAGGACATGATGAATTACAGCGAAGGCCTAAGGCAGGGAGACAATCAGAAACTGTTTCTCCTCAAAGAAAATTCAGCTGCTGTCTTATCTGAACCATCAGCAAAGGTTTCTGATGTTTTCCTGGGTGATTTTGATACGCTTTGTATTCATGGTTGTCACACAGTAGCAGAAAGAATTGTAACTAAATTTATAGATGATGCAGTTAAAGCATATAAGAAGATTAAAAGAAAACATGGATCAAAAGCAGACAAGATACTTCATTTATCTTCAGAGACTTCTCCAACCACTCTGCCAGTAAGTACAGTGGGAGTGTTTTTATTTAAAGTGTTGGACCTGAAGCTGGGTCTATCCAGGTGAGAATTTGTGTGGCCCAGTTTTTCATCATTCATAAAAATTACATCATGTCAACCTTAGGAACCAGGTTTCTCCCTTAATCTGACCCATTCCTCATTTAAGGAATTATCCTACAGCCAGTGGATGGCATGTGTATGGGGGGAAAAGGATGAGCTGAGCATCGGGATAAGGGCTACAGAGAGTCCAAATAAAGCAAATTGGAACTTTCATGTTGGAATTTGTCACTTGTCAAAACTGATAAATCTGCACAAACCTGAATTTTGATTAATTTCAGAGCAAACCTGGACACTTGTCAGCTCTGCCTCTGCAGCTCCTGGCTGTGAGAAAACTGCTTTTGGGGGGAGAGTAGTCCACCTTTAGAACAAAAATGTTTCAAAATGTCAAATTTTCATGGAACTTCAGATTTGGAATTCTTCCTAATTCTGAATTTTGCCCAACGCAGTTAAAATAGGTATTTTTTAAATGATGCATCACTAAGGCTTTCTATGACCTTGAGTAAGAAGATGGTTTTAAAAGTAACCTTAATCAGTTGCTAATAATCTCAATACCTCTAAAAATTGTGGGAAAACATCGAGTGTGTCATCTTTTTTTTTTTTTTTTTCCCTCCCTCTCTCCTGAAGCTCCTCAATAAAATCCTTGATGCTGGTGTTTTTGGAAGCTCTGAAGACTTTGTTCAGCCTTATTCTGACCAACACATGCCGGTGAGACAAAGACAAAAGCAACACCTGTACAAATTAGATCAGTGGCACTCAGCTCCTTGGAAGAAAACTGTGGAAGTTCCTCTTGTGATACCACATTACAGTTCTTATGTTAGAAACCTGTCTGCATGTGCTGTAGAAGAATTATGGACCCCAGAAAACATAAATTCCAATTTCAGGAGCATCAGTGTGCCAAAGTGCTCTGAATGCAATGATCTCCCAGGGAATGATTTGGAAGCAGAAAGCAAGAGGATGTATAATCAGGTATTTTTAAAGCACTAACTGTTAATTAACTTTTCTAGTGTTCTGTAAGCTGCCTCAGATAATATTTAATATTAATCTGGCTGCTAACACAAAGTGTAGCTAAAGGAACACTGGAAGGTACTGCAAAGTAAAGCTGGTGATCTACTGCAAAATAATTCCAGTAGAACAGAGGTTCTTGCTGTGAATCAAGGCTTTTGACAGAGTTCTCCAGCCATGAGACCCTGGACACCTAACACCAGCTATAGGAACATCAGTGATGCTGTCAGGAAATCCTGCCCTGAGATTCAAACCTGTCACCCTCCCCAAAATCCTTCAGAAGTGCTGAGAAAGTGTTTGAAAGGGCATCAGGGAGAGGTTCAGATGTGCCAGTGCTGTGGTTTTGTTGTTCCAGGTTATATTTGATTTGACCCGGGAGTTGTTACGTGCAGAATATCAAGTGACTGCAAATCCAAGCACTTTTCCAGGGATGAAAATAAACGTGGGATCTCGCTGTTCCAGGCATCTCTGCAGCAGAACAGATGTCAGTGATGTCAAGGTACGTTCTGGGAATGTAAAGTACAGTAACAAGAGTCAGTGAAGAGGGCAGGTATTGCAATGGCAATGAGAAATGGGAAATTTGGGAGGGTTATGGCAGTGGAACTGATGGGGGAAGAAAACAGCATTGCTCTGAAATGCCTGAATAAACACAGATTGAGCTGATCAGTCAAAAGATTCCAAATGTATGGAGCTCTGTAGAGAAATGAGCCTAAATCCTCCTAATTATGACTACTTTAGGTTTAACTTCTAAAGTAACATTATGACTAAAATGTGTTGGTTGGCCAATATTGATCAGTTCTTAAACTTGGGGAGGTTTCTGGCCTCAAAGCTGAATCTTCAGTGCCTGTCACTGATCTTCAACATTCACAGTGCCACAGTTCCTATCAGGCAAATCCTTTTCAGCCCTTTTTTTAATTTGTAGGCATTTGTTCAGGGTGAAATTATTCAAATAATGAACCTGGAAAAGAATGACTTAGAAATGAAAAGAAAATTGCTAAATATGACCAAGTATGGAAACTGTAAGAGAGACAGACTGGACCTTATCCTGGTAAGCAGATTTCCAAACTAGAAATTCTTGTGCTTTTGTGAGAATCATATTTTCTTAATTACTTCAGAACTTCAAGTTATTGCTTTTCTTTTCAGTACACCTGCAATAACAATCCAGTATTTCCAGTTCTAGTGAGTGGTTTAATATATCAATATATAAAATATTGATATTTTATTATGTATCTTATATACATAAAGCTGTTGGATTAGGTACAGTGTTTCAGTGCCTTTCAGAACCAACCATATTCCTCCTCTTGAGCTTATTCTTGTTATATTTTAGATCCAGGAGCTCCGTAAAGAAGAGTCTCAGTGGACTTATTATGGTGATGATGAATTAACAGTGAAGATGAGGATGACTGAAGGCATATTTAATAGCTTGATCCTTGATACAATCAGAGTTCTTAATAAGATTTATCTGAGAAAAGCCTGTGATTAGATGTTTTTCCCTCATGGGCCCTAATGGAGGAATTTTAATCTCTGATTTTTTTTCTTTATTTTTCAGTCAAGAAATAAGTGATTTAAGAACTTTAACTCTGAACTTGTACCCAATACCAGTGTGGCCTTGGCCTAATTTGTGCATTCATATTTATGAAAGGATCAAGGAGAGACTCATGCAGAGAGAAAAATATTACACAAAATAAATTCTCCTTGTGTTCTGTGCTTTGGGAAGGCTCATTAAGATCAATGGTCTTCTCAGATGTCACACAGAATCCAAAGGGGGGAAATTTTATTCCTTTTTATTTTTTTTTTGTTCAAGACTGCACTTTATCTCCTTTGAAGAGCACACTGTTTTAAAATTGTATACAAGTCTCTACAAACAGGTTTCAGAACCAATTTGTGTGCAAATGATCTTACTTCTGTTATCATGCTCAGGTTGTGAACGATGACAGGTGAATCATACTTTGAAAATTGTGTTCAGAAAATCATTGGTGACTGTCTGAAGAATGTAAATGTGCAGATGGAGTTAAATGTCCCAGATCCTGAATTGCTCTGGGCCTCTGTAGTTTGGAATAAACTCCTCTAACTGG